GGTGGCGGTCAACATGATTCTGGAGGCAAAGGTCAGTCTGAGCTTAGATTGGATCGCTCTCTTCTGTTCTACTATTCGCGTTTGACAAATCGTTGTTGCACGTATATGAATCAAATTTATGTCTTTCATTACCTAGACAACTCAGTGATACTCAAAGCTTTCAGAGATTTTTTCAGACAACTCTTTTATATTCCTAATCGCTTGACTTGAATCAACGTTTGGGTTACCTAGGGGATAGTTAACCGAGAATGGGTGGGAATTTCAGCACTTGATAAGCGGCTTCACAAGCGCATCTATGATATCTGTGCTGAGTTTTCCACTGGCATACGATTTCTCTATGGGACAGAAGGTGGTGATTGCTACGGAGAGTTCTACCTCTTGCTATGTGCCGCCTAGTCTACATAAATTAATCTGAGTGGCCTACTTATTCTTATTCGGGGTCAGGTTGCTCTAACAAATCGAGTTCGGTCCCGCTGTTTGACTTCAGGGCTAAAACTGATTTTCACTCTCCGCCCCAAAATGTAAATCTTCTTGTGAAAGCAATATGACATCTTGTTTACTAATTGCGACTTATAACACAGGGCTCACCGGTAACAAAAGTGTCCATCAAAATGATTTTCGTTCTCAATACATCTATTAATCCCTGTTCCATCTACTCCGAGACAGAAACGTCGACCCGATCGCCCACTGTCCGTGGCCTTGTTCGCTCCAGGTTGGCCTTTTGAAAATTGTGACCTCTCGTCAGCTAATGGCGACCAGTGCAAATCGCTCAGTTTGATCGCGGATTGGGACGACCGGTTCTGGACTCCGTTGACCGCTCTTTTACCACTAATTCGTAATCTGAGCACAAGTTGTCTTGGGTTGCATCGTCCCACAGTGCTCATTTTACCCGTTATTTGCGAATCCAGAAATTATCAATCAGGATTTATCCTAGAAACGACCTGTTGTACTGGACAGGGCGCGTTCATCTCATCCGGCCGGCCGGGTAGTTGTATGCGTATGCAACAAGTGAGCTACAAATCCTTTGACAACTTTGCGCTTATTACTCATAAGTAGACGAAGTGTAAAATGTGATTTTTATCTTCTCAAAAGATAAGTTGAATTTGACTCAACATTTAATAGTTTCCAGTACTATTATCATCCAATTTGATGTGCGCGTTTGGTATTCCACTTATGTGTGTCTTCGGCACTATTTATCTGATTTTTTTGTAGCTTATGCCAACATGCCGAGATTTGAGCCCAGAAATATTCGTCTCAGGTGGAACTAATGCGGGCACCATGCGATCTTTTCAGGTAAGTCGCTGTGTGCAATCGCTCGGTGAACGGTTTGTGTTTCGTTTGTTAAACTATGCGGTGTTACGTGTCGAAAGACGAATCCCAAACCTTGTTAAGGCTGGGGATGTGAAGAATTTTGATTAATAGTTCGCTCATTACCAATTTCCTGATTTTCTTACGGAGCTGGACTGATTATAGTCATTTAAAATGTACTTTTGAGTCTCATGAAATCGTTAGTATACAATACAGCTATGACATTTTTCAGGGATTTATAAATTTCGTCGGGGTCTTCCGTGTACGCTCACTGTATATGATGAATCAGTTTTTAAGTCAACAGAAATGAAAAACCGTCCGGCTGTTCAAGCTGATGTGAACGCGTGGCCATTGTACCGTTGATAAGGCTGATAATCCAATGTCGGTAGCAGGCATTTGCTCAGTACCAGAGGGACGGGGTTAAGTATAACCGAAGGAACTGCATCCACAGTATAGCGCAATTTATAACGAGCAAAGTAGGAAACTTAAGTTATTCAAATTATGTTGTTTGACAAGAAATGCTCAATAAGCAAGAAAAATGGCATCAATAGGAGGCCCTCGAATAAACTGGAGTTATACAGTGAATGAGGCATTGCAATGAAATTTCCCACACATATTGAAGAGAGATTAGAGAGGTTGTTGTAGATAGTTTTTAACATTGTTGGGATCAGTCCATATAGGCCAAAATATTACGGAGAGTGGCTTTTATCTCATTTACAACGTACTTTTCAGCCGCTGTCGAACAAGATTGCGTATCGAGTGCCGCGGCTCTAGATCTCGGTAGCGACCAACAAGTTCAAATCCCTTTTAATACGCACTGTTGTGTGATGAACGACAGAAGTGGTGGATCCTATAGTTACAAGAACATACTTGTCACTCGAGTCGACATGTTTCCTCTTATATTTCGTGCCTGCAGCCTCTTAGAGTATGGCTAAATGTAATGCCAAAATTCATTAAATGTTTTGGTATGTTTTTGGGCCTACTTCTGTCCTTCACCTCCCTGAATGGGTTCCTTTGCGACTTTTTACCGAATGGATGATCAAAATTATTTCTATTTTCAATTGTTTCTTATGCACTATTAGTCTGTTGATCGTCGGGGCGTCTCAATCGTGTCTGGACTCTTCTCATCACATTCGAGTGACCCTCTGATTCCATATTCACTTCTGTTACCCTTAAATCCAGACTCTCCATCACGCTTGCTGTGGACCGATCGCTCCGTATGGAACGTGTCTTTTACTCCGGCGAATCCCCCTAAATAGACCATTCTTTGGTCCGCGACTTGTCGAATTGTTCAGCTTCGCACCGACCGCGAACGTCTCTAATGGGTCTATCCTAGAATTGACTATCAGCTTGGGTTGTTGTTCCCCTGCGACCACAACCAAGTTACAACCTATCAAAAAGTTGCTTCGTGTCCTCGGTCTGGCCTTGTTTGTCGATTGGTGCGTTTCAGCAGTACCAGGTGGACGGCGATCGCAGTCGGTTTGTGAAACCATATGTCGACGTGACAGCATACCGTTTGAACAAGGTACGCGCGGATTGTTCTCATAACCTTTGCACAGTGCTCTCTTCCTATAGCAACAAAGACCGTCGGGATTGGCCAGATTTATTCGTTCCGCGGGAGAAATATTAGGAAAATGACAAGACGTGATTAGGTTGAGTTACCCATCCTGATCTATCTCCTGATTGACTCATGCGAAATTTTCACTACCTATCGGAAACGAATTCACCAATCCATCGTTGGTCTCGCGTTTATATCTTCGATATAAAATTGGCATTGCTTTTTTTCTATTTCTGTTGGGTTTTGTGCAGCTCGAAGTGCATCCTTCACCGGAACCGTTCTGTGTCTAAATTTATTCGTTATTATCACTTTTTGAGACTGACTTCTTTGTATCCTAGTCACACCAGCATTCCCCTGTATGTTGTTACCTTGGCTACTGACCAATGTTCGTACAGCCATGTGAACTTGCTTTCTTCCTACACCGGA